GACCTGAGCATTCAAGTCTCCGGCTAGTACTACAACATCTGTCGAACGCACCTTCTGGAGAAGAACAGATATCTGGTGGTAAAACTCATCCTTGATTGCATCCGGGCTGCAATCTGTCAGGGCATAGACGGAGATGACGAAAATACATCGTTTCTCACGCCGATTCCTTCTCACTTTGATGGAACTTTCTAATCTAACAACACATAGCCGACTGTTAATGGGGATCCAATCGATTAGTGCTGCCTCAGCTCTAGCACTTAGTGCGACACCGACGCCAGCAAGACCAGACGAAGATGCCACAGGGTCCCCGGATAAACGCACGTAAAACAAGCTTTTCGAAGCGACAGATGGAGAGGGGATTTGTAGTACTTCACTAAAGTCTTGAATACGGGTTTTGTATAGACAACAAACGTCAATATTAAGACTTTTCAAAGACTTAGCCAACCCTATCTTTTGTCCAACCTGCATAAGTGTGTGGAAGTTGAAGGCAGCCAGTTTGTATGGTGCACGTGGTTTCAGAAAAACTGCTTCAGTACTCATATTCGGTGGTAACATACAATTTTCAACTAGGCAGTGACTCGAGAACGTTTAGATAGAGTCGAATATCCACCAAAGACGAGCTGCTGTATAAGTCGAAAAAATAAGTATAGACAGAGTAGGAATAAAAGAGGGTGAATAATGTCGTAGTAAGTAATAATAATAATAATAATAATAATAACAGTGGTAATAATAATAACAATAATAGTAATGATAATAATTTGAATCATTTGATTGTTATTCGAAGCGCGAAAAGTAGTTTCCATAGATATAGAGAGTTCATCATTTGCGTGTGGGCTGTGATACTGCCCGGGTGCCCAAACCGAAGCAGGTGGTTATCTTAGGGGGCCACACCCCGAGCCTTTGACCTATAGGTCTAACCCACAACGCAGTGGAGCATCGTGAGGAGATGCAGTCCCATGGTAGCCGGTGACCAACGATTGATTCAAACACCATTCGTTCCTGCAGCATACTGGAGCCCATGTGCACCATTGGTTTGGGATCCGGTCAAAGCGCCGGACATTTGCTTTTCGTCGTCTCATTTTCGTAAACAACACCCCCGCCACGAGAAGGCAGTGAGTAGGACTTCCCTGGCAGAGGTTGTATACACATGGCCGTGTGAGAGTATCTCGAGAGGGAGGGCGGATCCACCCCGCTCTCGGCCATACCAGGGCATTTGGGAGCCGAAAGCAAGAGAGATGGAAAAGGCAGCTGCATTAGGTAACAGCATGCAACTGTTCAGACTTGTTAAGGAAACCGGTATTAGGAACCCGACTGTTAGCGAAACTATCTCAGAAAAAGATGGACATATTATTCATTCTCAATCCAGGATATTGGATCGAGTTTAGGGATCAGTTCAACTGGCCTTCAGCCACACTTCGGTTTCACACGATCTCCAGTCGACCTGAATTGCAAGTTGATGTAAGTCCTCCGACTCTTTATGACGTTAAAAAAGCTATAGGATATCTGAAGCGAGGGAGAGCAGCAGGCCCTGACAGGTTTACTCCTGAGACTTTTAAGGATGGTGGTCCAGTATTAGCAGCGAGATTGACAGAGGTATTAAGTAGAATCTGGGAACTGGACGTAATCCCATCTGACTGGTCTCAATCACTGATTGTGCCAGTCTATAAGAAAGGACAAAAGTCCTCTTGTGACAATCACAGAGGAATCAGTTTGACTAATATAGTGTCTAAAATATTAGCTTCAATAATAGCTCGTGAAGAGCAGACTAAAGAAAACCAGGCTGGTTTTCGACCTGGATGTGGTTGTATAGACCAGATATTCACATTACGTCAGGTCCTAGAACATAGACACATTCAGACGCCCCACAATAGTAGTATTTCTCGACCTTAAGGCGGCATTCGACTCTGTTGATCGTGAGGTTCTGTGACAGTGTTTGTCACTGAAAAGAGTACCAAAGAAGTACATTAACCTTATAATGGCTTTCTACTCGAACAAAACTGGTCGAGTTAGAGCTTATGGCGAACTGTCAACAGAACTGATTACCTCAAGTAGTGTTCGTCAGGGCTGCCCACTCTCTCCATTCTTGTTTAACTTTATCGTAGACGTGCTTTTAGGGATAACACTTTCCCCATCTAAATTCCCAAGGGTTGAACTTCTACCGGGAGATTCACTTTTTGACTTAGAATATGAGGATGACATAGTTTTATTTGGTGAAGACGCTGACAAAATGCAGAGTCTTCTGACCACTCTAAGCAACAATGCAAGCATGTTCGGGATGCGATTCTCTCCCTCGAAATGCAAAATGTTGCTTCAGGATTGGGTTACATCGACAGCCGAACTAGTGATAGGGAGTGAAGTAGTTGAGTGTGTCGACCGCTTCACTTATCTTGGAAGTCTCATCAGCCCTAGTGGTTTAGTGTGTGACGAAATCTCAGCACGGATACAGAAGGCTCGACTAGCTTTTGCCAACTTGCGTCATTTATGGCGTAGGCGAGATATCCGTTTATCAACCAAAGGACGTGTTTACTGCGCAGCAGTTTGTTCCGTTCTTCTTTATGGCAGTGAAACATGGCCGTTAAGAGTAGAGGATATTCGTAGGTTACTAGTATTCGATCATAGGTGTCTTTTAAACATTGCTCGTATATCTTGGGACCACCGAGTAAGTAATGCAGTTGTTAGGAAACGGATACTAGGTAAGGATGGTGAATCAACTGATGAAGTGTTGGAACTTTATCAGTTGAGATGACTGGGACACGTGTTACGTATGCCCAACGACCGACTGCCCCGACGTACGATGTTTTATGGTGTAGGAGTAGGTTGGAAGAAAGCTAAGGGCGGCCAGACCAAAACGTGGCACAAATCCATGAAGTCACTGACAAGTGGACTGAACCATGTTGGTAGGTGTAGACTACCTGGTTGGGGACCGCGAGATGATAGCGACCGAGGGTTAGAGACCCTGAATGACATGGCTCAAAATCGTTTGCAATGGCGCAGGTGCATCCACTCTTTATGTTCTCCCAAAATCTTCTGAATTCTTCGTGTCCCTTTTTTTCGCTTTCAAAATTTATTTCACTGGATTATACTCCTTGAGTAACATCTTGAAGCCCTAATGTTTTAGATTACTGATTATATTTTTACTACCTCTACAACTACGAGATTTGAATCGACAACTGCATCACTGTGCTAATGTGCTATGGCAACTCGAACAGATGTACGTACGTACGAAGTTCTACGTTGTTACCGACTGACTATTTAAGTACTGTCTATACAACGTTTTACATCAATTCATTAGGTGTATGAGGATTTACCACCATTTTACGAGTGCTCAAATGTAAGCTCGGATGTTAATAAAAACCAGAACTTCGCATTAGTTACAACACCTTCCGACAAAAAGAAGCGGATGTCAGCAACGAGTGACATTGAACAACTAAATACATAGGAGATGCGAAACAGGATGGTCAGAAAACGGAGACAAGGAAACTGAATAAGTTTGGGTCATATCATGGAGGATTGTCAAATACTGAATTTTAGCATTTCTTGAGCCTAGTCGTGAAAAAGTTACTTCCTTACACTGTTCAGAATGACAGTTGGAGAGAATCTTTACTCAGTATGCTTGCGCTCTGGCTTTTTGGAATCAACATACATCTAACCAGTGTTGGAGTACAAGGTAGAAGAGTAACACTGGATATACTTTAATCAGTTCTGATTCATCTGATGGATTAACTATATTTCACTAGTTAAAATACTTTTACCAACCCGAACGTTGCTGATTATGATTTTATCGAACAAAATGTTTCTAAAACAAAGTTGAATGACCAAGGCGATTTAATGTCATTGAAATTTATTGTTCGATTCTAGTAAACGCGAGGTAGAAAAAACACTTTCCAGTCTAAATAGTCACAGAAACCGGAACATGTGGTTTTATCAAAAGTAAACTGTACGTTAGATCCAACAGGCTCCCACGAGTATGACGTGAAAAGACTAGCTTTTAAGCAGTAACTGGTCGCTAGATTAGACTGTTACTAGTGATTATAATACAAACCCAGTACTGTGACTCCGCGGACAATCAGAAACAGCTTGCACACTTTCCACTTGATTAGAGACGAAACTGGTATAAACGATATAGCAGCAATGGTAAAAGACGGGAGAAGTATGCTATAAAGACATAGAGGCGGTATGAAAAAATATGGGATAATAAAACTTATATTAAAGCAAAACACATAATAGGAAGGGTGTGAAATATGGCTTATTTATATTCATTTGACTTAAGCATTTATTAACAGATGTCCACAACTCTTACTTGCACACGTGGCGTTTAGACGAAAAAAGAAACTTTTCGGATCTGAAATAAAGCAGGAAGGGGTAGACTAACGCGGTTCTAATAGTAAATGAGTCAAGCTACTTCATACCACGTCGTCGAATCTATCACCTGTGATGACCTGAACAGAAAGGTTTTTTGCAATGAGTTTTTACCATAACTTTTTACTAAAACTTATGAGCGAACTGAACATTTTTTGTGGACATTTATGTATTTTAGAACAGGATAATTCTAAATGTTGTGTTAATCCATAACAGCTGTTAGCAATCGTCGTTGCGGTGAGTTGTTAGATGACAACGTGCACAATGAAGAACAATGAAAACAACATGTATTCAATGGATTATGACAAATAATTTGAGGTCGATTACTTTATACACGTGACGAAAAGTACGATTTAAAGATGTATTTACTGGGTGGATTTTAAAGGACACAAACAAATGAATCCACTCGACGAAGCTATTTTGGGGAGAAACTTATTGTATTTATGTCATTCTTTAAAAAACTATCTCACTGATTACTAGTAGCAGTCTGTCTTTACTTTTTGACCACTTAGATAATCGACTCGAGGTCTATGAGAAAACTGTGTGGGTAATTCACGGAATGCAGTAAAAGGGACACTCACCTACCATCTTGATACATAATAAACGATATAAAGTTAAAACGTAGCACAGCTTATACCTACCCGGGTTCACCTTATCATTAGAATTGCCCGTCATCTATGAGAGGCAAACTGGCTGACCCGCCTTTCACTACTGTTTATCTAATCCAATTTTCAATATCGTCATTTCAGACCAACGTTATTCATTGCCATATTTGCTTAAGTGCTCTACTGTTACTTGACAGTGACATGTTATTGAAAGATTTTTGGTCTCATGCAGTCTTAATCCTAGTTAAACTTACTGATACGACTTAAAAACAACTCATTGCAACTCAGCAGCCGCTAAAGGTTTTCGAGCGTTGTGATCACTTCGTCAAGGATTCAAATGCTTTGACGAGGAGATGTTACGAATTTCTATATCAAACTTGTGTAAAGCACACCTAGAATTCAGTGTTTAAACAGACAGTTCATATCTTGTTGATGATGCACGCTAGAGTGCGTTTGACGTTGTAGCGGTAAATAAATCCCCAAAATAAATTGCTCTGTAAGTTTCCAATATTGGATGCTGACCAGATTAGTTTTAGTGGACTCACCTAGCTGAAGGCGCTCGGTCATGCATCCGCACCAGATCACGGGTGGGAACGCCGTGCTCAACATTTACGGCAATCGCTAGCCAGATTAGATCAGACGATTCTCGATATATTGATATCATATCAAATATATCTTCCAATCTCTTCGATTCTGTCTTTTGATTTCTCTTGGTGGGTACGAGTTATATTAGAAGGTGTTACTGGTTAAACCGTTGTCAAACACTGAAAACCTGTGCCATCTTCAATGTATAAGAACAATGTTAGTAAAGAATCGTTCCAAAATCCCTTACAATGAGCGCCTAAAACGCCTGACTTTTTCCTCTTATCGTATCGTAGGATGCAAGGTGACCTCATATCAGCATTATGTATCTTTAATAACGATTTGGGTGTTAATGTAACTTATCTTTTTGCTCCTTTCAGAACCAATCATCTTCAAGACCATAGCAAGAAAGTTTAGAAACCACTATTTCGTAAACTAGGAGTGAAGCCACTTTTTTCTCACCGAGTAGTAAATTATAAAACACTCTATCCGAACAAGTGGTACCAACCTCATTAGTGAACATTTTAAGAATCTGATGCTTCATCAAGAAACAACCTACAAGGACTACTATAAGTCTGCAGACATAGTACTCTTGTTACTCGAGACTGAAGACCAAAGAAGAAACTTAATTTTTTCACTCATTACTGATATTTACTCCAGCAACTAGTTCGTCCAATGTCAGTCCTCAGTAATACTTCCATTAGGTTAGTTATTCTGCATGAATTTCTAAAGCAAATATTTGTAGTGAGCAACTCAGTTAGTTGTCTGGAAGTATCGCGTGATGAATGGCGTATATGTTCTAAGCCCATTTAGTTTCCAACCAACTAGAAATACCCAATTAAAGGCACTGATCCAACTAGTCAGTCAATTGTTTTAAATCAAAGTCTTTCCCATCTCACCGTGTTGCCAATGTTGTTTTAAGATCCATTTTGAATGTTTTGTGTGTGAAAATCCCTTGACGGGTCAGGAATTTTCGTCCGTAAAGACTTGCCGATCCTAGCCAGGACCTTAAAATTTTAAATTTTCTGGTGACGAGACTTCGACAAAAAATGGTGCGTAAGCAGCTTCCGGTGCAACATGAATTTACCTAAATGATCATCGGATCGGTTACACAAGTGCATAGAGCTTGCTCAGGAAAGGGTCGTGGCCACATGTACAAGTCGATTGTGATCGCGGTGACGGAACTTTGGCTGTAGACAATAGCAAACTTGGATTTGAAAGTTTACCGTTATTAGGAGACGACAGAATCCAGGGAAGTCAAAAAAAGGAGAGTAGCCCCATTTGTTAGAAATACTATACCATTTACCGTTATCAGTAACAAATCTCATGAAAGTGAGACAAGCGAATTAGACAGTTGCCACCTAAAATACAAATGACAAGAGCTGCTGATTAATTCTTCTCTACCACAGTCTAAACTATGTAGGGAATAACGTCTTGCTAAATGGTTTCAGTACGTATTCATCAAATGGCCGATGTTTAATCCTGGGAAATTTTAATTCACCTACAGCAAACCGGGAAAATCTGAGAAATGTATTACCAGAAAATTCTTTCGATAAGAAAATAGTTGAAACGATTATTACATGTGCCCTAATGCAATATGTGAAAGAGGCAGTTAGAGGTGACATGAACTAAGAATCAATAGCAATACACCACATATTAAAACACTATGAAAATAAAGTCGCTAACCTCCATTATATGCCACCTCTAGGTAAAAGTTATCACATAGTCCTAGTCTCTGTTCTACGTATGGTTTTCGATAACAAGGACCTATCAGCTCATGCTAGATCAAAAGTTTATGAAGCAGATATGTAAGATATTATACACTCATTATTCTCGTTAGATTGATCAGTAGAACGAGTCTTTCATTGAAACAGCTTCGTATGTATTCAGAAATCTGTACACAAACACGTCAATGCACAGCACATCTCTTGGACTAAACCAAGGAGTTCAAGAAACTCCCCACTGTGAATCAATAAAGATTTTCTTGTCAGTCTCTGTGAGAAGAGAAGAACATGAGAAAGATTTAGGTTAATGGGCACTGACAAGACAAAATCTCACTACCGAGAAGCTAGAAATATTATTCGGAAGTTGTTTGAGGAACACGACGAATACCGAATTCTTTCGGGAAAACAGATTATTCGTGCCCCACCGATTTACTGTTAGCCCGTAAAAATTGGTGGACTCCTAAAGACCAAAAGTTACCTATAGATTTACTCTACCTTGACGTCAGAAAGGTTTTCGACAACGTACCACACAACTAGCTGTTACATAAGTTAAGTAATATCGGGATTGGTGTCAGTTAATCAATGTGGATAAAATATTTCCTAGTTGGGCGTCAACAGAGAGGACGGATGAACTTAAATTTGTCTATTTGAGAAACTGTTCCTGGCAGAGTGCCTCAGGATACAGTTATCGGGTCAGCATTATTTCTCCCGTACGTAGATGACCGTCATAGTCTTATATGATGGTCAACTTTGTTATATGTTGACGATGTCAAGATGTGTGAAGCGACAAATACTAAAAGTGATAGTTTAGAGATTCAAAATGGTCCCGAGTAATTATCTGAATGGTGTAAAATTTATAAATGCTTCCAAGTGCATTATGATGTATATTAGTTATCACTGTACAGATATATACACAGTGAATAACACTGAGCATCCTGTTGTCGAGACACACAGTGACTTAGGAGTCATCATCAGTCAATACATAAAACTACTGTTGTTGTAATCTTGGTGAAATTCGCACCAACTTTCCGACATTTTTGATCATATAATTCGTTCTTTTCTCAGCAATAACTTCAAACCAGTGGGTATTAACTGGCCACTGATTTACTAATTAAAGTCACACTTAGATAACTGGCTCATTAGTGTCCATATAGTCTGTTCTATTTTTTGGGCTTCTGTGTGTTGTGGTGAGAACTCTCCTTTTGTCATATTCAGTGAAGTTCTTTCTTTGGAATCTATCTTCTGAAACACTTCATTTTGCTGATATCTTAAAGCCTTGGAGAGAATTTCACGGTAGACAGAAAAAACTTGTACATCAAGGGGGTTCTGACATGCCTTAAAAAGTAGGCAGACAACAATAGATTCGTACTGACTACGTATGATGAATTTATCTCAGCTTCTGAAGAAAAAGATTACACCCACCTTTCGGGTTTTCTGGAAAAAATACATCAGTCCTTCTAACCGATTCGCTTCCAACATTGAAAGTTTTCAGGCCTGTGTGCTCGTAGTAAAGAATATGTGTTTATATACTGTTAACATCTGAAATGTGGTCTATTTTCTTACAAAAGACGATTTACAGTCAGATCCTGTGACGTCGCTAACCTCCATTATATGCCACCTCTAGGTAAAAGTTATCACATAGTCCTAGTCTCTGTTCTACGTATGGTTTTCGATAACAAGGACCTATCAGCTCATGCTAGATCAAAAGTTTATGAAGCAGATATGTAAGATATTATACACTCATTATTCTCGTTAGATTGATCAGTAGAACGAGTCTTTCATTGAAACAGCTTCGTATGTATTCAGAAATCTGTACACAAACACGTCAATGCACAGCACATCTCTTGGACTAAACCAAGGAGTTCAAGAAACTCCCCACTGTGAATCAATAAAGATTTTCTTGTCAGTCTCTGTGAGAAGAGAAGAACATGAGAAAGATTTAGGTTAATGGGCACTGACAAGACAAAATCTCACTACCGAGAAGCTAGAAATATTATTCGGAAGTTGTTTGAGGAACACGACGAATACCGAATTCTTTCGGGAAAACAGATTATTCGTGCCCCACCGATTTACTGTTAGCCCGTAAAAATTGGTGGACTCCTAAAGACCAAAAGTTACCTATAGATTTACTCTACCTTGACGTCAGAAAGGTTTTCGACAACGTACCACACAACTAGCTGTTACATAAGTTAAGTAATATCGGGATTGGTGTCAGTTAATCAATGTGGATAAAATATTTCCTAGTTGGGCGTCAACAGAGAGGACGGATGAACTTAAATTTGTCTATTTGAGAAACTGTTCCTGGCAGAGTGCCTCAGGATACAGTTATCGGGTCAGCATTATTTCTCCCGTACGTAGATGACCGTCATAGTCTTATATGATGGTCAACTTTGTTATATGTTGACGATGTCAAGATGTGTGAAGCGACAAATACTAAAAGTGATAGTTTAGAGATTCAAAATGGTCCCGAGTAATTATCTGAATGGTGTAAAATTTATAAATGCTTCCAAGTGCATTATGATGTATATTAGTTATCACTGTACAGATATATACACAGTGAATAACACTGAGCATCCTGTTGTCGAGACACACAGTGACTTAGGAGTCATCATCAGTCAATACATAAAACTACTGTTGTTGTAATCTTGGTGAAATTCGCACCAACTTTCCGACATTTTTGATCATATAATTCGTTCTTTTCTCAGCAATAACTTCAAACCAGTGGGTATTAACTGGCCACTGATTTACTAATTAAAGTCACACT